TTCTTTGAGCATGAAACATTTTCAAATCTCTGCACATACAACCTCATTAAATATTTTAAAATGGGAAATTTCCTCCTCCACCAAACTTTGAGTTTTCAAAGGGATTAGAGTTGCAGAATTTTTTTTTGAATTTTCAAGTTTTGTGTTGAAAAATGTACAAAATTAAAGAATTTACAGTAAAAAGCTGGAATTTTTTTAATTTTGTAAATGAATGACTAAGAACTTCTTCATTGTTTAATGTATTGAGGGTGCATAAAGTTCAGGGGTGATGCAGTTTCAGAATGTCAGTGTTTTTTTATTTTCAACCCAGAAAAGAAATTCCCCCCCTTTTTTTTACAAAAATGTGCATTTTAATTTCCTCCTCTTTCCTTTCTTAGGGGAACAGGAGGAATTCTCCCCATTTTTTAAATGGGGTTTGTTTCCCTTTTTTTAATAAGTGGGAATTTTTCAGAGGGGGTGTTTTATGAAATGTTCCTTTTTTCTTAAAGAAACTCAGAAGATTAAAAAAAACTTTGACTTTCTGTATTTGTAGAACAAGTCATTAGAGAAAAAATTTGAAGTTCTAGTTTGTTTCTCATAAATTTTTTAATTTGCTAGATTTTTCAACAAAAAACATGAAAATTCAGAAAAATATATTTTCCTTTAATCTCTTTGAAAATTTAAAGTTTGGTGAAGAAGGAAATTTTGCATGATCTTTGTGATTTGAAAGAAAAAATAATTATGTAAGAATGAATTTAGAAAAGGTTTTATACATTCTCCTTTTCACCTGATTGTCAATTTAAATTATTTTTAAGGTTTAATATGGTAAATGTAGGGAACTTCATGATGCTTCTAATGCAGTTAAAAATTTGTACAGTATTTCAGTGCATAATTACTTTTTTGGCAAAGTTTAAAATATGAAAAATTCGTAAGAAAAATGGAAACAAGAATTCAAAGTTTCTAGTTTAGCTCATTCTAATTTATTTGCTTTTGATGAAAGTTAAAAAATATTTACAGGTTGTCATACACACTGACGTTTTACAAGTTTACCCTTTTTTCATGGAAAACTGTTGCAAATTAAAAAGCTAAAATTCAAAAAGTAAAAACATTTTTCATGATTTTTGTTACGATTTTCAAAAATGTTTTTAAATTTTGGATGGTAATTTTGTCACATTTTCAGATTTTGGCATAATTAAAAATAGAAAATTTAGAGGACATCCTTGCGCATGCAATGCTGAAAAGTATTTGAAAATCGGTTCAGAATTCAATTTATGACAAATTTCCAAAGTTTAGTAATTGGGAATTATGTTTGAAAATTTGGAACAAATTAAAATTTTTAACATGTAAATCTATGGCAGATCTCATTTAGGTTAACAAACCCCCCGGTTACTGAACTAGTTTGTGGAAAGAATTAAGTTTGTTAACCGGGGGTTGACTGTACTGAGCCCTTTCTCTGTGTATACAGATCCACTGCTCTGTATATACTGCACAAATTTTCTCTACATGCAGATGTCCTGTGAGAAGTTTTTGCACCATACAAAAACTTGTGCAAAATCAATTTTACAGTTTTTTACATTTTTTTGCATTTTACACAATGGACAGCATGAAAAATTGCTTTTCTCAGGTCAAAAAGTTTAGTTGGCATGTGCTGTATATGTACAATGAGTGCCATTCTATATATGGCATGCATTGTATGTACAGCATGTTTCATTTTATACATGGTGTTATTTACCTCATGTGCACTGTTCAACCCTGGGACAGTGGAGGGTTCTTTCCCATTGCAGGACATAGTTGGATTATTTTTGTATCCTCCCACATTTTCCAATAGGGCCAGGAAAGCCCTTCCAGTTGGGCTGAATCCAAGAAAAACCTGTTACTCAAATGAGCATTTTTTTATTTTCCTGCACCATTTTTTTTATTGCCTAGGAAAAAAAAAACAGTGTGATTTTTCCCTGTGCACTCAATCCCCTGTTATCATGCCTTCTAATTTTTTTCTTCACCACTCTCAGGCGCAAAACATTTTTGCTCTTTTTGTTCATGCCCTGCTCTTTTCCCTCATCCTGTGCTGGTCCTGGAAGTTTTTCCCAAGCACATTCTGAGGATTTCAGCTTCCTCAAGAACACCCATTTCTGTACAGCCATTCAATACAGGTAATAAGCACAGGTGACTTGTTGGAACATGTTCTTCATAAATGCCTAACTGCCAAAAATCACTCATTTCTGAAAGAATCACCCATATCCAGCCAGTTATGGAATGCCAGTGTCTTTTGGCCTGGCTGGAAAATGCTGATTATTTGCTGGGATGGACCCATCAAGAAGAAAGTATACTGATGTGCAGTATTTTCTGTTTCTGTTCAGAGATCAGCGAGTTTCAGGACATCACTGATGAGCTGGTGGGAGTCATGAGTGGATTGCAAGCTCAAGTAGAGCAAGAAAAAATGGCAGCTATTGGGGCGCGAAATCTGGTGAAGTCCGTCACTAAGCAGAAGGATGGACATCAGCAAAAACTCCAAGTTGGTGTTTATTTCCCGGTCGGAATGCCCCATCATTATATTCATGCGTGCAATGCACAGCATTAGCTTCCACGACTCATGTCCATTAAAACGGTGAAGTTTGTATATACAGTAAAGTTTGTTTATACAGTATTTTACTGTAAAATATAGCCACACTGTATACTGGTACCCGGCCCAGAAAATGTCGGGTGATCAGGACAATTATCCCTCCGTTTTAGGTGTGATGCTTAAGTTAGATTTCGCGTTTTTCCGAAGAAAATTATGGAGGAGCGTGTGCGTTTGATGGAAAAATTTGAACTCACGATCGACCATCAGCAATGGAGATTTCTTCTCCCATCCTTACCTGAATTTTGTACAGATTATTAACAAAAGAATCAAAATTAGGCTTTCAAGCAAATCTCGACGATTGTAATTTTCAGAGCATTCTAATTGAAGTGAAGTACAAAATGAAGGTTGTTCGTTTTTTTTTCAAGATAAGGCAAAGCTCGAAGCTGAAGTGCAACTGCGCGTTTTTATCACACATGCAGATGAGCTCATTTGAAAAAAAAAGAACTAAATGAATAAAATGCACGGGAATGATGGGCGAGAAGTGCTCTCCCCTCTTTGACAATATCGTGGCATTTTTTTCACTCTTCTTCTGCTTTTTCGATTTCGTCACGTTATATTTTTCAACGAAGTAAAGTCTAAAGGTATCAGTATGTGTTGAAGTTGGCCGGCCCTATAATTTGATATGTATGAGTGATTTGGCAAGATTTTTCTGAAGCCAACATGTTTTATTCGTCCAGCAACATTTTCAGGAAATGAAGTGGTGCGATCAAGTGGTGAAGCACGTTGAGTACCGTGCAGTACAATACAGTGTTATTCCATCGCTAAAATTAACAACTGCCATTTAATAGCGCCGCATGGCTTGTATCGCAGAAGAAAATTGTTGCATCTACTCGGCCAAGTTTTAAGCAATCTAATGGGAATGACCATCGTTGAATTCCTTTTTGTTACGAATGGCATAAAATGATGAAAATGTCCCGCACATTATGAAGTCCAGTATTGTGGGATTTTAATTGTGATATTATTACTCATATCTGGAGAACCGCTCTGGGAGGATTCCTCCTTGAGGAAATCGTCCTTGGGAGAATTCGACCTTGGGACGGGGTACAAATGGGCCTTGCGGGGAGAGGCAGGGCTACTGGACAACTGGCAGAACAACCGGAGAGGGAGCGCTGGTCAGTCTGATTGCAGACAAGGATGAGTGCTCATCTGCCTTGAACAAATTTGAAATCAGAGAATGTGCAATTTTTTTTCAGAAGACAATATATGTTCAACAGGTGTATTTTTTAAAATCTGAAATGTTGGGATGCTATCATCCATCCAAAACCACACACAATTACAGCAGCCGCTTAAGTATGATTTTATCAATTAGCCCCTGAGACATAAGCAATGAGCAAGGAAGCTCATGAAACAAGCTCGAAACTTTTTCATGGAAATTATCTTTGGGAATTTTTATTTTTTGGAATCTATGTGCCCCTGTCTTAGGGGCTCATTGGTAAAATCATACTTCAGGGGTTGCTGTAATTGTGTGTGGTTTTGGATGGATGATGGCATCCCAACAATTCAGATTTAAAAATACAGGTGTTGAACATATATTGTCTTCTGAAAAAAAAATTGCTTGATTTCAAATGTGTGCGAGGCATATGGGCACTTCTCGTGGTCTGCACAAAGACTGACCTGCATATGGATGGAGGGCATCCCATCCACAGAGTTTCTTTGTGGTTTTAGGTGTGTCCTGCACACTTACTTAGGAGTGTGAAATAGATGAGAAACTGAAGAGAGAACATGCTTTTAAGGTCTCTAGACGCTTCAGAAAATAAGAAACAAACCATTTGTTTCCTAGGCTTATTGAACTTGATTTTTTCTTTTTTTTTTCTTGCTTGTCTGGTGTGTGCGTGTGGAGCATATATGCGCACTAATACTTGTCTGCGCTCAGACTGACCAGCAGCGCTCCCTCTCCGCTTGCTCCGCCAGTAGTTGTCCAGCAGTAGCCCCGGCTCCCTCCGTTTGGAGGGATTGTGGCAAGGCCCATTTCTACCCCTTGGCCTGGGATGAGGACAAATTCTTACGGAGCCCTGGAGAACGTTACTGCCCAAGAACAAGCAGGTTGAATTGCCCTTTTTTTCTCGGTGCGTTCATTACAGACATGCCGTGCACTTCTTGTTGCAACGAAGAAACCCAAGGTTAATTTAGAGAAGATAAGTGCAATACTGTACTGCAGAACATCGTTCCCTCAGAGAACCACCGATCACAATTACACTGTAGCTCCAGAAATTGCAGAGGAAACAATGAATCAGGGAGAGACTGAAGCGTGCTGAAAGATCACCTGATAATAACGCTGTTTGAGCATATCCATCCAATTCAAACATTGAAACAATATCTGTGCATTATCCTTTTTTTTTAATGATGATGATAATATCTTCCAGAAGAAGATCTCATACCTGGTTCCAAGCAGATATGTATCATACCCCTTATCTTTCTTGCAGAAGACCATCTGCAGGCTGTGGTTTTTATTGAAAATTGAACCTCCTTTCTGCCATTTCATTCGATTACTGTATACATATAAAGACGAACGTTTATATACTGTACCGTAGTGAATATAAATAATTCCGAATGAAGAACATTTGCGCAGGTTTTGAGATTGAATGAATGTGTAAAAGGCCAAAATTGTAATCTACGAGCTGAAAAAAAATGCCGAGAGGGTTCTCGCGTCAAACTTTTCCAACTCATAAAGATGTGATGTATACTCGAACTATGTACTGTTTGTGATGAAAGTTTTGAAAACAATCATCATAAATATCCCCTAAGTAGTAATGTCATCTGATATAAGAAGAGTCCATGAACTTAAGTGCCATTTCGTGTCTGTGAGGACAGAGTTTAAAAAAAGAGAGTAACAATCCACCCAGGGCGAAGTCCGGCAAAATCCCTATGTTTTCTTTTTATAAATCCACAGACAAATTTTGCCCAAAAAAAAGTATCAAGGCTGAGCCATCTTTTTAGCCTCTCTCTGGATGACTTGCATTCTTCTCAGAGTTGCGACCCTTTCAGTTTGGGTGCCAGATGGAATTAGATGAGACAGAAAAAGTCCCAATTTGGGAGATATTAGCATTTTTGTTGGAAAAAGTCCAACTTTGCCCTGGGCAACCTGGCCTGGCTTTTGTGGCCTTCAAGAAAAGGAAATACAGAACCACCCCAGAAAATCCCGACTTCCCCAAGCAATGGAAATAAACCCTTTGCTGTTGGAGGGTTAATCGCTGGAGGACCTGGATACCCTGCTGCATGAGGGTATATATGGGCAGTGAACAGCACCTCCTTCTAAATCATCCCGACTGAAAATTCAAAACGGAACGTCCAATTTAACCTGAAGTATGAGGGAATATATAATGTGTACGATACTAGTATTTAGACAAACATATCCACTGTACATACTGATCCTTATGTATATTCACTGCTGGTCATATTGTACCTGCTTGGGTATGTATAACGTGATAATTTTGCAACTGCTGTGCATGTACAGCATTTGCCACATCTGCGTCAGGGAAAGGGCCATGCAAACAAATCCTCGTTGCTATGGAATTTCATTCTGCCGTGTGTGCATTATGTCTCCCAGCATGAGAACATGTCTTATTCTTGGTTGTCCATGGGGAATTATATGCAGCATGCTTTCCGAATTCGCTCGCACCCAGCTCATCAATATCCTTCGTTTTTCTGTCGAAAATAGTGTCGGACTTGTGCGGCTATCGTCGTCAGCACTTTCCTCAATCACAGATCCTGTTCACAACGCGCTAGCAGCAGTACATAATATGATGTGCGTCCATCCTGAATGATTTTGTCAACGTACATGTAATTCCCTTCTTGTGGACCAAATAACTCAATTCCTGTCTCGCAGGATAAAATATTTTTCCATCACCTTGGTTATGATGAACAACTCTGTGTTGCATAGGCTCTGATAGCGGAGAAACAGTTGGAGCTGGAGCGGATGCGATTCCAGTACGAGTCTTTGACGCAAGCTGAGGCGGAGCAGTTGGAGCTAATTGAGCAGTTCCTTTTGCAACAATGAGATCCAGCAGGAAGTTAAGGACGAGTGTGCTGTGAACATCAGGAGGCGGGTTGGAGTGGGTGATCCCCAATTCCTGGATTCCTGCCAACAGAACAAGAAGAGAGGACATACCCTCTCCTTTCAATGCATTCGTCTGCGCATGCTGTTTCAAGACTGATAACTGCTGTGTTTCAATGAGTGATCCACTATATATCCCATTTCGTTTGCTTTAAATAGAGTCAAACCATGATCTTGAAGACGGGAAGCTGTCTTAATCTGGTCACCGTAATAGAGACTACAAAAGGATGAAGAAATTCAGCACAGTTCCCCGCCATGCATTGATCAGACCCTTTCTGAAAAAAAACCGTGCGGTACATGTGGAGTTCATGTTTGTGTGCTGTATTTGTGACCAACTTTGCAATGAAATTGGATTATACTGCAGATTCTACCATTTGGTCAATTTTTACCACGTTTTTATGAACTCACTTTCTTGTCTGTTGGCAGGAATCCAGNAGCAAAAAATAACCTTAAACGTGGTGCGCATGGAGATTGTTGAGAAGAAGTGAAATACAAATGAAATAGATGCGCACCACGTTTAAGGTTATTTTTTGATTTTTGAGAACGTGGTTTTTTAGATTAATTTTTTAATCTACTATAATTATTATTCATTCTGGTTTAATGGACCATTCCGGATCATACTACAGTACTCCCAGCAAATAATTTGGGAGTTGGATGCTGGAGATCTGCCAATAGCTTGGTGCACATGTAGCTAACTAGCTACTATCAAGTTTGGAGGCGACTCCCTGAGGAAAATATAACTTGGTAAGATAATGAGGTAGGACTCAAGTAAGTACCAAGCAGCTGTCAGTCAGTTGATGCTCAACTCCTGAAATCATTTGGAGATCTTCCCATCTGTATTTCAACTACAGTAGTGTTATTATCCCTGCATTTGTATAGGATAAAAACTGCTGTGTACTTTCCCAATGATTTTCATCCCCTGAGGGCAATTCTCTGGTCCTTTCTCAATCTCAGGCATACATAATCATTTACTGGTAGTCTGTCAAAACCATTTGGTTATCCTGAACCTTAGCATGTACACGCCTTCTACATCAGACATTACATCAAAATATGCCAGAGAATTCACATTCTGTCCAAAGGAACAATTCAGTTACAAATTGAGATCAAAATTTTGAAGTGGCTTACAATGGGAAATCTCTTCAATTTCACTGGTAGAATCCGTGTTGCACCAATGCCGCCATCTATCCATCAAGCAGCATTCCACTTGCACTTTCCCTCTCATTTCTGCATTTCCTCATTCATTGCATTTACAATTAATGAATTTCTCTTGAGCCTTTTTTTGTCTGCTTAATGAGCCTAATAATAGTGCTTGCCCTTAGGAAAACTTCAAACACTTCCCAGGGTTGCTGGAACAGCATGTTGGCAATGGGAAGCACAGTACTGCACAGCATGTTAAAACTTACTCCAACCAGTGTAGCATGTTGTCCTGTGACACTGCTCATTGCACTAAACTCAAACACTGAAGTCTGTCACTAGTGTGAATAAAGGAGAGAGTGATGAGAATAGGGAGTGAGGTGATGGTGGGTGCAGTGGCCTGGAGTTTTGCTGGGGTGAGTTCCTGCTCTGGCAAGAAACTACACCACCGGATTCAAAATGTAAGTACAATACCATACAAAACATTTTGGAACTGGACCAGAGATTTTTGGCACAGCATGAATTTAAGGCACATCATCTGTGAATTGAAACTCAGGAATTCAAATCACATAAGTAAATCGAAATATGAGAATTTGAAACACCTTGGGAAATTTTAGCAGTAATTCAAACCACATGAGGAAATTGTAACAACAATTCTGAATTACATAAGAAATTTCAAGCACATTCAGAATTTTGTTGACCAGATTTTGAATCATGTTAGAAAATTGCAATAGGAATTGGAATTTTGTCCGAAATGGTGGCACAGGAATTTGGATTGTATCAGGAATGGTAACTGAGGAATTCAAATCACATAAGAGAGGTTTGAAGCAAATGGTGAATTTGGATTAGAAACTCAACCAGAATTGGAACACAAGAATTCAAAACGCATGAGGATTTTGAACGTCAATAAATGTCTGATGAATGTCCATGACCCTTGCTCAAAAAATTGTTCTCTCTCTGGAAATTAAAATTTATGAGTATGGAATTCAGAAATTTCCATGGATGATTTCAGAAATCTAAATTGATTTGGGTTCCACTCTCAACACTTACTGGCCACCAATTTTAGACACAGAATATTTGAATCTTATGACAAAACAAAAGTTTTTGTAGAAGACATTTATGAAGGACAAGTAAAACATATCACTCAGCAGGGTAGCCTGCCTGTCCTCAATTCCAGGGGACTAGCTGAAGGTTAAATAAAAATTTATTTCCATAGTTTTCAACTAAAATGAGTGAGATCACCAAATAATGTTTCATATCACAAGACATATCAGACAAGTATTTCTAACCAAGACAATTTTCCCAAACAAATGTCTTCACTGGTTTGAAGCTGGATGATAAGTGCTGTGCTTGTAGCACAATTTTTGGTATTTATGGCTATTTATACAGAATGGAAGTTTACAAAAATATGTGCTTTGAAATTGGCAAAACTTGCCAAATGAGACTCGAGCTTTCAGGAATTCACAAATGGAGGCAGAAAAAATGCTTTCAAGCAGCCAGGCTGCAGCCTGGACAACTTTTGTCAAAGTTCAAAAAGGTGTATTTTTGCAAAGTGATAAACTCAGAACAAAACTGGGTTCACTGTCTCAGGAATTTGGAAATGCATGCAAAAGATTGTCAAACAGCTTCTCTACTTAGAGATCTGCTTTGGTTTGCAACTCAATCCCAGTTGTTGGAATAAAGAAGGAGCAAAAATCAGGAAATATGATTCAAAGTACTGTACACAAGACTGGAGAAAGAATTTTTGTTCAGATGTTCTTATTCAGAAATGTTCTTGCTGGGCCTAGGAACTAAAGTTGGGTTTGGTTCACTGGCTCCAGCAGTTGCAGAAATTTTTGATAGAATAATAGAAGATTTATATCTATGTGCCAAATTGTTGCCTCCTCAGAGTTTTTTCCAACGCCAACTACCCAAAAGAAGCTGCCGATTTGACAGGGTCAAAATTACATTTTTGGCCTCCAAATTGTGGTGCCTTTGTATAGTGAGCAACCTGCACATATGCTTGCATAGGCATGATCTCACACCTGCCAAAATTAAACCTGATCATTTTGTCTAATTGATGGGTACTTCAGCCCTGCAGATAAAGATCAGACTGGAAGGTAAAGCCAAGAGGTGACCTGTAACTTTCAAGCATTGTAAACAATTTAGTTTATTTGTATTGTAACATTCTATCTATTCACTGTACTGCATGACAAACATTGATGCAATTTGTGTTTGTACATGCAGCCAACCATGTTATTCAGCAGCAATTTCGTAAGCTTGCTTGTGTTAAATATCACCATGTTGGTTGTGCTTGCTAGTCTTCAAACAAAAAAGGCCAAATTCACACTTGGACATGGAATATTTTATGCCTGCATTTTCTGGTTTCTGGAAAGTATCCAGACCTCATTAAGCAATAAGTCCGCTGGCTGTTTTAAAAAAGTTAGTTACACTGATGTTTCACTGGTGCTGGTGCTGGTAGGCCGATGTTCCAGTCTGTGCAGGACAGGGAAACAGGAACTGAACAGAATGATGCTGAGTGCCCGATTCCTTGCGGTAGGGCTTGGGTAGAATGCACGGGCTGAGGATGGGAGGAGTGGGAGGCACAGTGACGATGCTCAGGGGAGGATGAGGTAGCAGTGGCAGAGGTGAATCCAAGGGATGCTGGGTGCTGGTGTCAGGTGCATCTTGCGTAGGCACTGGGGAGTCTGGAAGGGCGGCCATCGGCAAGGCCAACCGGGTCACCTTCGCCTGCTTTGTGTGAGAAAATTAAAGGTAGTTTTTGATAATTAGTCCCTCCATAGAAAATCAGGGGAGCACTTTTTTTCTTCCTCTCCCCATGAGTTTCATTTGAAAAGCACATTTCATCCCCTGCATCATCAAGCCTACGTCTGTCTAAACAAAAAAAAGTAATACCTCCTCAAAAAAAAAAAAGAGAAATTCATGAATGAGTTTTGGAAATGTCAAACTGAGGTTAGACATTCAAGATACTTCCCTCTGTTTTTCTTCAAGTGAGCTTGTGGAGGTCGATCTATCTAAACATGCATGATTTCCACCCTCAGTTACCATGATTATTAGAACTCAGTATAACAGCACACAGCCCATGACTATGGAAAAAACTGATGGCGTTGATACAAGAAATCTAGTGAAGAATTATGTAGATTTTTTGACTTGCTGATGCTCAAAATGAAGTGCTAGACCTGAGCATCACTTCTTTTTTCCAGGCTGTTTTCCTCCCGGGATCTCTATTTACACCGTAGGGTGGACTAAAAAGGAGTGAACCAATATTTGAGTGACATTAACTCAGTGGTAAACTCAGCTACAGCAATGAAAATAGGAACAGAATGAGAACCTATTACATTTCTTTGGAAATGTGATGTAGTTTCATCTGCCCCATGCTAGTGCCATGACATGGTCATCAATGCACTTCGAATGTCAACTTTCCCCAAAAAACGTGTCAAGGTCACATATAGCCTTGAGGCTGGCTCCCAGCATTCCAGCAAGCATTCACTTATTCCAGCATGTCAACATGGCTCTGCTAAATTTCGTTCTTACCTCTCAGTTTTCATCCCTTTTTTATGAATTTTTCGCCGTGTGAATCCTCTGAAAGGCAGCCTAAAGTTTGCCCCTAAAATTACTGGTCTTGCATCCGTTTATCAATCCTTTACGGGACACAGAAAGAGGCATGACAATGTTTTTGTTGCAAAGTTTAAATTCAAATGACTTTTATGACCATTCCAGGGCATCCAAGATGACAAAACTGCATTAAAAACCTCATTTAGTATCTGTTTTTACTGGCACATATTGTGGCACTAAGGCACAGGGTAGCACTACAGTACAAAATATTTTATGGCATGAGAGAGAGAAAGGTCCACATCAGGGCTCCTGCTGCAGAGAAAATAGTTTTGTTCACAGCATTGTTAGGCCAGTCAGTGCCTTTTATGAGAAAAAAGGGTTCTGAAAATTTGAAAACACCTGGTGCTGGTGTTTTCACCTCAGAAATTGATGGTTTGTACAAAAGTTTGAAGTGGATGTTTTTCTCCACAACCAGGTTTTTTGTGAATTTAAAAATTTACAAGGCTGCGCAAATTTTTGGAGACAAGGATAAATGTCTTGAAGGGTCTAGCAGAGAATTTTTGGCGTGATTAAATGGCAGCGGACGTTTTACGTTTCAAGACAATAAATGGTCTTAGCTTTTGGTGAACCAAAGGATAGTAGATACAGCCAGCAGCTGGCAAAATTTTGACCCCTTTTGGTCATTTGAACCATTTTAGTAAGGAAACACATGGGTCATTTGACCCCCAGAA